TGAACATAACCAATAACCTACCATAGCCAATAACAAATAAATGTAGCTTATTTTATTTTTGTTGTTCATTCATATCTTATTTTACCTAGTTAACATTTATTTATGCATATTTTTGTATCTCTCCAACTTTAAACGATATTTTTGGTTAACTGTCCTATAGTATACATTTGAATGATTTCAAACCTGTTTTTATTTATCCTAATAATTATAAAGGAGTGCCTTGGAAATATGTGTTTACATAATTTGTGGTCAAAACGTTTGAGACCCACTGAGATAACTTAGACTAAAATTAACTAAGGATCTAAACACTCAGAGAGTCCTTTACCTCACTGAGCCTCTCAGTCTGACAGGAGAGCTCTCCTCCACCCTGGTTGTAGAAACATCTACTTCTTATATCCGTTAGCGCAGCTAGCACCAGATTCTAATAACAACAGCGCCGGTACCGGTGCGCCCTCTCCCTTGCTCGCTCTCTCGCTACCACGCTCGCACTTTGGCTGTGAGCTGCGGGCGCCTGATAAGCCAACATCCCCCACTTTCATCACTTACAGCGCCCACCGTACAGGGCAAATTAAATGTGTAACCGGGGTGAAAAGGGTGTTACATTTACTTAATTATGAATGTTGTTACATCGAGGCCGAACATTTGGATGAGCGCCAACGGTCAAAAATGTTTTTTCCCTCCCAGAGCTACCAGCGCAGCGCCCCCCAGATCTGGCGCCCTAGGCGACCGCCTGTGTCGGAAATTGGCCCTGCCTAGTAGATACAGTGGCAATGTCTCAAGATTTAGCAAAAATACACCTTTGTTGAACATACAGTAACACAAATAAGACAAATCCACATAACAAACAATCAAAAATGAAAAAGGGTCACCACTTATTATTATTTTTATTATTTTTGGTACCTGGCTGGCGCCCCCTAGCAGCGGCGCTCATATTTCAGCAGCGGCACTGCGCCGCCACTATTTGTATATAGGGGAAACACTGAAGTAATGATTAAACGGTAGACCAGGATGTTTCAATTCTGCAACCTGCAATGACAGATGGTGTGTGACTCTTGGAATAAGTAGTTGATCACTTGTGAACACAATGTTGACATATTCTCGCTGTTTAGGTTGCTATGGTGGACTTATTAACAAACAGTGGCTCATTTATGAATCTAGCAGGCATGTAGCAACAAGATCCTTTAATTTGAGTTGTTTCTGTGACATCGTTGTGAATATAAATCCAGTATTCAAACTCTTTTAGCTCTGTTTTTGGTCACCATCAACAGAGTCACTAATGGGGAGGGACATAAATCAGAACAGAAGAAGGACACAAAGCCACAGCCAAGGTAACAAACAAAACAGGAGGGAAGTACAGTGCAGAGTACAAAAAGAGAGAACAGAAGGAGGTACAAAAAGTTGCGGTCNTTGAGGGGTTCTCGGGCGGACGGCCCGGGAGCAAGGCAGGGGGCAAGGCAGAGTTTGAGGAGGAGGTCTCAGGCGGACGGCCCGGGGGCAAGGCAGAGTTCATTAAGGGGCGAAGGCCACAGCGGGCGAACTCAGGGGGCCGAGCATGAGGGCGAAGGCAGCGGCTGGAAGAGTCAGTTAGGACGGTGACATCGTTGTGAATATAAATCCAGTATTCAAACTCTTTTAGCTCTGTTTTTGGTCACCATCAACAGAGTTCTGGGTCCTAACCTGCTTTTGGTGTTGCTGTGTTTTTTTGTGTCGGTTCAGTGGTTATCACTGCTTTTTCTGCTTCAAACCTTCTATTTCTTTTTTGTTCCGACCAATCTTGAAATGGTAAACAAAGCACTCCCTGTGTGCTAGACGGGACTTCTGTCAGGAGGAAAAACAGTGCATAGAGAGGGTTAACTACAGAAAATCCTAAAGCTTTTTTTAAATGCATACGTTGTGTTGTATTTATCATATCATTGGTTTCATACTATCATGTGTCAACAGTTTAAAATGCAGAGCTATGATTGTAATTGTTTTTATATGCACTGGTCTTGAGGTTGAGGATTTGGCCTCTGTTGCTTTCATAACATTTCTTAGAAAGAAAACAACCGCAATTCACATTTTGGTGTTTATTTTTCTTACATTGTTGTTTTGCATGTTTAGATCCCGCCAAAATTCTCCAAAAGTAAGCATGAATCAATGTTTCATTTGCATATTTTAACATACATAATATTTCAGAAATAATTGTGGTTCATAGGATCACTGTTCAATTGTGGTGCCTTGCAAAATATATAAATCAAGCTTTTATTCTCATACTCCAAAATTCTCCTATTCAGTATAAATACAATTTTTTACAGTTTGATTCCTACTGTATATGCTGATGTGTTTTACAGAGGCATGTTCATATGTCATTAATAGTCTGATTTATATACTCCAAACACATATATACACATGATAGGCTTTTTGAGTGAGTTGCTGACATATTTTCAAATGCATTAAGTGATACAAAGAGATATCCAAAAGTCCCTCCGTAAAAATACAGGTACAAATATTTGACTCTGATGTGCCAAAGATATGCCAAGTTTTATCCAATGTTCAGAATTCAGTTTCAGAAATGTAATGTGTGCCAAATAGCAAATAAATAAAGACTTTTCTAACATTCAAACGTATTTACCTATAGTAACACTCCTTACTGGCTTACATCTAGCTTTACAGCAAACTGCTATAACACCTTTGGATGTGAACTCTCTTCATCCATTTTTCATTTTATGTTCCTGCCTGATCCCTCATGGCACAGGCAATTTTTTTTCTCGCATCAGAGAGAAGCACTGGGGGCATTTCCTTGTGGACAGT